CTTGTGTTCTTCGCTGCCGCCTCACAAGGACTAATGGCGTTGTCATTCCTTGCGCTTGTATTCGTAAGTGCTTCCCATTCGAACTTTCGAAGTATTTCTTATTTCATTGGAATTCTCTCGAAAGTCAATAGTGACAATTACAACACTGCTATGTGATCATTTCATATCCTTTCAAGCCATCCACCATGTACAGGTTGGGTCAAAACTATGGCAATCGCGACCATGGTTCTGTTGCGCGAACTCGAATCCGCCTTTTCCCCGATCTCATTTTCTTCTTCTTCACTGTGCATAATGTAATGGGGTTCAGTGTTTCCGTTCTAGAAACCAAGTATAATGCATGACTCAAAGCTGGTAAACCAACGACGTCGTGATGTGGTGAATGAGCGACAACCTGATGGATTAAGATCTGATGAACAAGGTGGCTATTTCTCAGTTTTAGCAAAGTCAGGCGCTGGAGCTAGCACCACACCTGAATGATTTTAGTTCTACCGGTTGAAGCGCTGTCCCTGCTAGAAGCACCCCTGGTTTTAAGTGGTACTCGGGCCGAGCCTTCATTAATTCATCCTTCTACATCAGTTGTCGGGTTTCTTGATCTCTACAGAAATCGACTCAAGACTAACAGTCTCTCGTCGATGATCGTGGTGCACATTCAAGCCAGTTGGCCGATGTCATAGTTCGCGAATCGAACGTTGCGCCAGCGAATCAAACTTTGCACCAGCGAGTCGAACGATGTACCAGCGACTCAATAGTGGCGGGACCCAACGTTCAAAGGAAGCCCGCCACTTTCAAACAGTGTCACGTGACAGTGGACCCTTTTGAAAGTGGCGGGACTTGACAGTGGACACTGTTTGAAAGTGGCGGGCTTCCTTTGAACGTTGGGTCCCGCCACTATTGAGTCGCTGGTACATAGTTCGACTCGCTGGTGCATCGTTCGATTCGCTGGTGCAAAGTTCGATTCGCTGGTGCAACGTTCGATTCGCTGGCGCAACGCTCGGATCCAGCGATTCGCTAGCGAATCGCTCGATTCGCAAACTATGACATCGGCCATGCTGCTGGCCGTGTGGCTCCATGGAAAAGGTCACCACGCGCGACGTGTTCGCGTATCGCCCACGTCAGAGCGGTGGTGAGGGAGCAAGGGCTAGCTCTGTCACCATTACTTTTATACGTTAAGTAGTTCGAGTATCTATCGCTCTCTTACTTCGCTTCAATAAGCAAAAGTAAGTAAAAATCGAACTCAAGGGACGGACTTGGTTCATTCAACTACAACTTGACTGTGTACTCCTGCTGGTTTGCGCATGAAAGCCTCGATTTCCTCTACATTCTTTCGAGGAATTCCTGTTCCTGGTGCAGGTGACGATGCTTCTACATAACACAATCAGCGGCTCGACAGATTGGAAAAGTGTTATTTTGACGTTAGCAGCACGCGCTCGCGTCCGTGCAGCCGCTGAGCTTTTCTCTCCCCCCGGGCTGAGCTTGGTGATCTGCAAACAATCTCGTTTGGTAGCACTGTCAACATTTATAGCCGAATTCAATCGTTTGGCTACTGCAAATGCTCTCGACTGCGAAAATTTTTTCTAAAGAAAGGATGGAGGGGTGCGAACTGAATCATGTCAGCATCTTTCTGCCTCTTCCATAGTGGGCGGCTTGTGGGATCGGAGATGAGACGACATTTCTGCAAATGGTGAAGTATCTATCTGTGCAGAATTTCACTGACTATCTGCCCCATCGTTGCGACAACTGTCGAGCTTTTTTGTCAACCCTTCAGCGTAGTGTAGTGTTATGGTCGATTGGAGAGCCGGACGTTTCACTCCCTTCCCGTAGCTGACTATTCTTCCGTTTCCCTGCATGGATGGACACTGTTTTTTGTATCTTCCATGAATTTCCGCACACTCCTAAGTACATACCTACTGCTAATAGGAAGTACAGGGTGGTCCAAAATTATGAGGACCGCGTGCGCGCGCGGTCATATCCACTTTTTTCCGAGTCGCTCCATTTTCATCTCCTTTTCTGTGCACTATGTGAGAGGGTACAATGTCTTCTTCCTAATGAAATTTCATGCAGTTCTCAAAACTAGTGAAATAACAACATCACCTTACGTCAGTCCTCAAATTGAACTCACTCTGGCACGTTACATCTAGCGTATCAGGGAAGCTCTTATGAGCAACAGTTCAACTCTTCAATAAGTTTGGAACCACCACAGATGGAAAATTCGGGGACTCGAAAGTTACAGTTACCACCAGGATAATTATCAGATGCAGAAACTAGGTCTCCCCTTGTCGACTTTCGTACACCCAAAATGAAAAAATTGATGTGAAAACCCAGCCAGACACTCTAAAGACTCCACATCTGTAGTGGATAGAAGCCACTCGAGTAGTCTACTTGGGACTTCTTACAGGACCGAGCACCCAAGAATAAAGCAAAAATTCTCTAAAAAGCGATTTTTCGAGTTCGTTGCTTTCGAAGAATTGTTACAATGGAACCTTCCACCTAATAGCTCTAGATTTCTGTATTTTACACCCTGGATGCAAGCGCAAATAAATGCCCCACAAAACTTTGATTCCCTGAAGAAGCAGAGCAGAAGGCCTGGAACATTTTGACACGCCTCAGTTGCGTGCCACCGCACGCGCCATCCCCTTCATCTGAAGGCTCGTGTAAACGGGGCAGGTGGCAGATCTCAATTCTATTCTGGAATTACTTTGAGATAAGAGTTACAAACACTTCCCTGAAGTTTGTTTGTTCCATCAAGCTACTATGCGTTTTTAACGACACAATGTCTTGGTCCTCATAATTTTGGCCCACCCTGTACACACCTACAGCCAATGCAACAAAAATGATCGAAAAGTTTTGCCTGATGAAATTTCTTATTTCGGCATAATTTTGGCGCACCCTGTACGCGACCGTGGATTTCACGACGTTTTGTGGACGCACTACGCGGTTTTGATGCAAGCATTTGTAATGTCCGAAGGTCGGACTATTAGCGAATTTTCAACCATTTTTAAGGTCTAGCCTATTTCTCAATCTTGATAGAAAAGGGGAACGTTAGTATAAAGTGTCGTCTGTGAATAGCCTTGGGAATAACCTGTCGTCTAAGGCTGACCTTGTGGTAAAATCGAATTCTGGACGTTGAAAAATAAACACGATAGCAAAGCGGAACCCAAATACTGAAGGAACGGAAGAAGAACATTAAAAGAAAGGAGTAGTGCTGTGGCTGACACACAGCGTAGTTCAGGTAGTTTTAAAGGCACAACCCAGGCAGAGGTCGTGTGAACGCTTCTCTTCGGTCTGTAGTATAGACCCTAGAGGACAATCACAAATGTGGCGTTCTCGTGCACGGAAACCAACCGACAAGAGCGCTTGGGCCTTGCAAAGTAAGCTGCCCAAGCTGCAGACTTTTTTTTCTTATCAGGCTGTTGTCTGGCGCTCTCTCATCTGTAGCGCTCTCTCGTACTCTCCTCTCCGCGCTTAGTCTCTCATTCCCTTAGCACAGCCGATTAGGAAGGTGAGTGAGCCCTTAACCTAAGCGTTTTCGACGGATTCTTTTCCTTTTTTCTTTACTGCCGGCCCACTTGGCACCAATACATTCGCATTCGTGTGCAAGAGCCACACCAATGTGATCCTGGGGCATGCCTTTAAAGAAAACCCAAATTGGTTGAACTCCTTACTTGCAAATGAACCATTCATTCATTCATTCATT